CGCCTTATATTATTGGCCCCCACCCCGGCGGCCCTCCTGGCCGCGTGGTCCAGCGCCCTCGATCCGCCCGGGCCCCGATGGCCTCCCCGCGCGCGCGACGGTCGGGCCTCGATCGGGCGGTCGCCGACCCTGAGGTCCTGGCGGCTCAAGTTTCTCGAGCCGGGCCTCTTCGCACCAGTTCGGGCCCTGGGGATCCTGTCACAGGTTGGTCCAGCTCGGAAAGTGACACTGGAAGGTGGGGTCCAGGGCTCTGGGCGTTCTGTTCTACGGTGTTGCGAGTGTTTCGCTGCGTCGGGTCTCAGAGGTGTTTCTAACGGTGTGTCGACATTGGGCTGCAAGGGGGGGTGAGGAGGGGTCTGGCTCCAGACCTCTGCTTAGTGCGACTGTTTGCAAGAGTGCGGGGAGACTCCACCCGCTCGAAACAAGCGCGAACAAACAGCCAAGATCTACTCCATGGGGGGGGAAAAAGGGTTTGGGGACCCGCCCCAATCGGCAAAACAATAAATTATCCGGGCGAAAGACCCAACCATGCGCAATTGTGAATACCGCGTTGTGGGTACTGCTTTCGATGGAGCTCCATATGGGGCTAGGAACCGTGTGAGGTGTGTCCAATATCGGCGTCGGGCGCATGCGGCCTGTGCCACTGGGCCGTTGGTGGAGCTCCCTGTGGGACCACGAACCGTGTGAGGGGTGCGCCAAAATGCGTGGCGGTCCCCGCATGCGGACCCTGCCACTGGGGTCTTCGGTGGAGCTCCCTGTGGGGCCACGAACCGTGCGAGGGGTGCGCCGAAATGGGTGGCGGTCCCCGCATGCGGACCCTGCCGCTGGGGCCTTCGGTGGAGCTCCCTATGGGGCCACGAACCGTGCGAGGGGTGCGCCGAAATGGGTGGCGGTCCCCGCATGCGGACCCTGCCGCTGGGGCCTTCGGTGAAGCTCCCTGTGGGGCCAAGATCCTCGTGATGGGTGTGCCCAAATGCGTGGCGGTCCCCGCACTCGGACCCTGCCACTGGGGCCTTGGGCGGAACTCCCCATGGGGCCACGCACCGTGTGAAGGATGTGCGTAAATGAGTGGCGGTCCCTGCATGCGGACCCGCCGGTGGGGCCTTCGGTGGAGCTCCCTGTCGGGCCACGAACCGTGTGAGGGGTGCGCCAAAATGCGTGGCGGTCCCCGCATGCGGACCCTGCCACTGGAGCCTTTGGTGGAACTCCCTGTGGGGCCACGAACCGTGTGAGGGGTGTGCCTAAATGGGTGGCGGTCCCCGCATGCGGACCCTGCCGCTGGGGCCTTCGGTGGAGCTCCCTGTGGGGCCACGAGCCGCGTTGGGCCACGAGCCGTGTGAAGGGTGTACCAACATGGGTGGCGGCCCCCTCATGCGGACCCTGCCGCTGGGGCCTTTGGTGGAGCTACATGTGTGCCACGAACCGTCTGAGGGGTGTGCCTTAATGGGTGGCGGTCCCCGCATGCTGACCCTGCCGCTGGGGCCTTCGATGGAGCTCCCTGCGGGGCCACGATCCTCGTGAGGGATGTGCCAAAATGGATGGCGGTCCCCTCATGCGGACCCTTCCGCTGGGGCCTTCAGTGGAGCTCCCTGTGGGACCACGATCCTCGTGATGGGTGTGCCAAGTGGGCGGCGGCCCCCTCATGCGGACCCTGCCACTGGGGCCTTCGACGGGGCTCCCTATGGGGCCACGAAAATCTGTCCTGGGTGGCGGTGACGAATGCGGCCTGAGGCGGATGGGCAGATGGAGGAGGAGAGGAGGAGGAGAGGAGAGGAGAGGAGAGGAGAGGAGAGGAGAGGAGAGGAGAGGAGAGGAGAGGAGAGAAGAGGAGAGGAGAGGAGGAGGAGAGGAGAGGAGAGGAGAGGAGAGCAGAGGAGAGGAGAGGAGAGGAGAGGAGAGGAGACGCGGGGCGCTGTCTGTTCAAAACGGGGACCCAACACCACAGGATGGTTGGGAATACATCAGAGACGAACACGAGATGGTCCTCGCCGACAGAACTGCACACGTCCGAGCGATGCCAAGGAGGCCGGGAGCCAGCGGAACGCCCTCCTCCACCTGCTGGCGCAAGCGGACCTCCGTGTCGCGGTAGTCCTGGAGCTGGACGTCCTGGGCGGAGGGGCACCACACCCAAATCCCCACAAGCCTGGCACCGTATGTGCAGTGCCAGGGGCGGCGGCCCGTCTTCCCATCCTGCCGTCATAGGGGGATGCGGAGTCCCTGAAGGCGGGACGGGGTGGGCACGAGGGGGCATCGCAGCCAGCTCACACTCCAAAGAGGCACCATCGCCTTGTCAGTCTGGATTGATCCACTCACGGATCCACTGCATGTTGTTCTCATTGAGTTTATTCCATGCGTAGCATGCTCTCCCCTTTCGTTTGCGAAGAAAACACGGCAGCGGGGGGGGGTCTCTCTTTTCGGCCTCTGGGGACCGTCGAAGAAACGACTCAGGGTGAAAAGCTGGTCCCAGGGAACGGGTCGAGATCTCTGGGGGTCGACTTTGGGGTCAAAATCATGACGCCAGGGGTCCTGGCATGAGGGGGTAATCCTTGAAGGGGGCCGAGGGACACACAATGAAGTAGACACAAGTCCCAGGGAGGATTCCCCATATGTCTTATGTCTTATATGTTCTGGGTCTGTGCCTTCCCCTCCACTTCCCATGTTAATGATACTTTCCTGGGCATCGGCGGTACTTGGTGTCCGCGTTTGGTCGTTCCTGAGTATCGTCGTTCGCGGGGGTCTGAAGCGAGGTTCAGCCAGCAAGCTGGGTGGCTAGAATCTGGGCTTGAACGCGATGATCCCAAATGCGGCCCCCGCGGGGACCATCCGATCAGCCAGTGCACTTGAGAAAGCCCTTAGCCATGGGGCCAATGGAGGGAGATGACTTCGTCCACTGGAACCTAGACATACCCTTTGAACTGCGCCTCGCAGGGAAGTCGTAACGGCTGGCGTTTCTGCATTCTCAGCCCATGGAGCCCGTTTGAAAGGATGGCCCCAGGGAAGGGAGCTGAGATCCCCTGGGGCACCCGTCACCAAAACATGTGACGTCGGACACAGGAGGGCGCGCGCTGCTGACACACGTGTTGTGTCATGTCTGGGCTCGGGGGGCCAGTTCTGGGCCCCGATACGCCGAACACATGTGGACGGAAAGAGCTGTTGCCGAGGAAAGGGTCGAGAGATCCGGGAACCACGGACCGAACACATCGAGACGTCGGAGGCCGAAGCAGAGGGCAAGACATGAGGCTCGACCACCAGATCCTGCAACTCGTAAGCTGCCCAGCGAGCGCGGCGAGGTCGGTGAGAGCCCACGAGGATATTGAAGTGTGCAACACGGTGGTCCCCCCGTTTCCCCAGCGTTCCCTTCTGAGCCTCTTGGGCACCTCAGTCCGCTCGGCCACTGACTGGGCCCAAGATCGAGCACATTCGTCGGCCCTGTCCCCTCGACCCTGTCGAAACTGGGCCAGTATGGCTGTCCATTCCGCGGCCGCACGTGATAGGCCAATTTTCCACCACCACTACAGTAGGTAGGGGGGGAGGAGGAGGAGGAGGAGGAGGAGGAGGAGGAGGAGGAGGAGGAGGAGGAGGAGGAGGAGGACAAGGAGGAGGGGGAGGAGGAGGAGGGGGAGAAGGAGGAGGAGAAGGAGGCCTCCCCATCCTCCTGCTCCCCCGTGTTACCTATGGTAATGGTGGTAAAACATATGCTCACTTGGAAGGGCTCAGACGCCGAACGGGCTCAATCGCCTCAGTGCCAGGGCCGAGTTGACATGAAGTAGGCGGGTCCCGAGCGAAACGGGTCCCCGACATCGCGGCCTTTCCCCCCCGATCAGCTCTTCGTCTGGATTCGTTCTCTGACCAGCCCACGGTCCATTTCGCCCGTAACCGGCCCCGCCAATTTGTCCCCCCCTGCCATTCCCTGGTCACGTCACGATTCATGCCGTCGCCGTCTGGGAACGAGCCAATTCTGAAGCATTCCCAGACGGCGCACGCTTGCGAGTAGGCACCTTGCGAGAAGTGGAACGCACTCGGTAATTCCAAGCGAGACAAGGCGCGGCGGTGACGCCTGGGTCAAGCCAGACCCGGGTCAATCAGGCCTTGCAGGACCCTGCAAGAGACTGCCAGATCCTGCACCCAAGCCCGGGTCAGTGCGCCCGTGGCCCTGCAGGATCCTGCAAGATCCAGCGCTCTGACTGACCCCCGTTTGCACTGACCCCCCGTCTCTAGAGTCAGGTCGGGCGTGTCCCCCTACAGGCGGATTTCGGGCGAAAAATCCATGACTCCGATGGAAAGACCCCGCATGAAAACCCTTTCGGCTAATCCTCAAATGACCTTCACCGTCGTCCTCGCGATTAGTGAAGCGCCCTTATTGTCTTCTATGCGTCATTATCATTCCCGCCCTGGCGCAGGGCCCTCACCCGCTTCCCACATTGCCCTTGCCTCGCCCTCATGCTGTTTGTTTCGTCACCCACCACCTCTTCTCCTGTCTATTGCAAGAGCGCGCGCGCCGATTTTCCCCGACGCCGCCGCCGCCCCTGCCAGCGCGGGCGCATTCGCGAATGGCCGCGTCGCGCGGCCGTTGGGACAACCCCGCAGGCCAGGCCGTTGGGGCAACCGCGCGTGCCGCTGGGGCGCGGGAGCAAGCCGTTGGGACAACCCCGCACGCACCGAGCTAGTCACGGCGGCGCTCAGGCGGTTACCACCCCCGGCGTGGACACAAGGGTTTCCCCCTGCGCCCGGCCGCCGTAGTCGTCCTCACCTCCTGTTGCTCCTCTTCCTCCTTCTCCTCCTCACCTGATGGGTCGGGCGAATCGCCCTCTGAAGAGCGCATATGGAAGGGGCTCCCGCCTGAGACTTCTTCACAAGTCACTCACAAACGAGGCCCCCCGCCTGGTACTCCCTCCATACTCTGGCCTCGAGATCCCCAAACTGACGACAGTTACAGGGATGAGGATGACCCGCTCGGATTACCAACATGAAATGCGGGCCCAATAAGGAGTGGGCTCCCGCCTGAGACCTCCTCAAAAACATGAGTTCCGGGCCCAATAAGGAGGGGGCTCCCGCCTGAGACTTCCTTGCAGTTCACTCAGAGCCCAAAAATGACGACAGTTACACGTGTGAGGATGACCCGCTCGGAGTGCGAGCATCAAGCGCAGTCCCCATATGGAGGGGGCTCCTGCCTGAGACTTCCTCACAATTCATTCATAAACGAGGATATCGCCTGATATTTCCTCCATGTTCAAACCTGAGGAGCCGAAAAATGACGACAGGTATACGCTTCCGATGACCCGCTCGGATTGCCAACATCAAATGCGGTCCCCATAAAGAGAAGGCTCCCGCCCGAGGCTTCCTCACAATTCACTCGCAGACGAGGCTCCCGCCTGATATTTCCTCCACATTCAGGCCTGAGGAATTCAAAAGTGACGACAGATATAGGTTTCCGATGACCCGTTCAGATTACCGACATCAAATGCGGTCCCCATTTTAAAAAAGGCTCCCGCCTGAGACCTCCTCACACTTCACTCACAGACGAGGCTCCCGCCTGATACTTCCCCCATTCAAGCCTGAGGAGCCGAAAAATGACGACAGGCAGAATCTTCCCATGACGCGCTCGGATTGCCAACATCAAATGCGGTCCCCATAAAGAGAAGGCTCCCGCCTGAGACCTCCTCACAATTCTCTCACAGACGAGGCTTCCGCCTGATACGTCCTCCATTTTCAAGCCTGAAGATCCCAAAAAACTATGATTGTTATAGGTTTCCGATTACCCGCTCGGATTACTAACCAAAGCGCGGGCCCCATAGGGAGGGGGCTCCCGCCTGAGACTTCCTTAAAATTCACTCACAAACGAATCTCCCGCCTCATACTTTGCATTCAAGGCTGAGGAGCCCAAAGGTGACGACCGTAATAGGCTTTCGATGACCCGCTCGGATTACCAACATGAAATGCGAGCCCCATAGGGAGGGGGTTCCTGCCTGAGACTTCCTCACAATTCACTCGCAGACGAGGTTCCCGCCTTATACTTCTTCCATATCCAAGCCGGAGGAGCCAAACAATGACGACAGTTACACGGATGAGGACGACTCGCTCGGATTACCAACATGAAGTGAGGGCCCCATATGGAGGCGCTCCTGCCTGAGAATTCCTCACACTTCACTCACAGACGAGGCTCATGATGGTGATGATTGGTGATGATGAGGATGATGATGTGGTGGTGGTGTGTTCCTGCGCGGGGTGTCCAAAGGAAAAGATGCTGAGTGATGAGAGAGAGAGAGAGAGAGAAAGAGAGAGAGAGAGAGAGAGAAAAAAAAAAACAAGTGTGTGTGTGATGTGCGACTGAGCATGATGATGATGGCGGTGGTGGTGATGCTGATGCTGATGATGCTCGATGGCCGATGGTGATGGCGATCGATGGTCCATGGTGAATGACTGGGTATGATGATGGTGATGATGATGATGATGATGATGATGATGATGATGATGCTGGTAGTGGTGATGATGATGACCGATTGTGATGATGACGGATGATGGGGTGAATGGGTGAATGCGTGAGTGAGGCAGAGAGTGGGAGGAAGTTGTGGTTCCTGCGCGGAGGGTGTCCAGAGAAAACAAGAACCCCACTCTGGACGTGGGGAACATATTCAAAACATGCGCCAACATAGCCAAACAAATACTTCAAAAAACTGGCCGAAGCTATTTTTGAACTATTTTTGAATGTTCTTCTTGTAGAGGGACAGACCCGACTTAACTCTAGAGCCCCGACGCTGTCGCGCCACCACATCCGCCGGCCGTTCTGCCTGCCAAGCGCAGCAATACTCGCGCTTCGCACTTCGCGCTCTCGCGCCGCCCCCTCCCCCCCGGGGGGGGACGACGAGAAAGGCACGAACAGCTACGCGCCCTCGCGCCGCCCCCTCCCCCCGGGGGGAGGAGAGGAGGACGACGAGGAAGGCGCGAACAGCTTCGCGCCCTCGCGCCGCACCCTCCCCCCGAGGGGAGGAGAGGAGGACGACGAGGAAGGCGCGAACAACCTCTCGCTCTCGCACCGCCGCGGAGGAGAGGAGGACGACGAGGAAGGCGCGAACAACTCCGCCGCCCGAGAGGACGACGAGGAAGGAGCGGACAACTCTGCGCTCTCGCGCCGCCGCCCACCCCGAAGGGGAGGAGAGGAGGACGACGAGGAAGGCGCGAACAACCTCGCGCTCTCGCGCAGCCCCCTCCCCGCCCCCGGGGGGGAGGAGGAGGACGAGGAGGATCGAGGAGGATGAGGATGAGGAGTCGCGAATCGCAAAGCGCGAGGGACTTCGCCGCCCCCCCAGGGGATGCAGAGGAGGGCGAGGAGGATAAGAGGATGAGGCGCCGCGAGCTCTGCACCGCGAGCTGCGAATGACTTCGCGCTTGCGTGCGTGTGCGTTAGGTCGGGCATGTCCCCCTACAGAGGGATTTTGGGCGAACAAAAAGAAAGTCGAACAATACCCCAACGTACCCGAAAAATGATCGAAGAATCGTACCCCGACTGTGTTTGGACTACTTTGGAATATTCCTCCTGCAGAAAGACAGGCCCGACTTAACCATTGCTCCGACTTGTTCTCTTTTCGCCGAGGGGGGGCCATGGCAGCCCCTATGCGCAGCTGGAGCTCCCAGAGGGACCCCCCATCGCGGTCTGTGCAAGCAGACAAGGGGAGCTGCGCGAAGTGAAAGAGGAGGAAGCGGAGGAGGAGGAGGAGGAGGAGGAGGAGGGACACGCCCGACTTAACGTTTGCGGCCCTGTTCCTCCCGCGCGAAGGAGGAGCGAGGAGGAGGAGGAGGAGAGGAGGAGGTGGGGAGGAGGAGGAGGGAGGAAAGGAGGAGGAGGAGGAGTGAGGAGGAGGAGGAGAGAGGAGGAGGAGGAGGAAGCGGAGGAGGAGGAGGAGGAGGAGGAGGAGGGACACGCCCGCCTCCTCGTCTGCGGCCCTGCTGCTTCCGCGCGCACGCCTGCCGAGGTCTTCGCTCCGGCCGTGCGCTCGGGGCGGGCGCCCCCCCCGCGCCCACCGCCGCGAGGCGCCCGCGCGCGCGAGGGGCGGGCGCGGCCGGCCGCGGCGCGCCTCCGAGAGGCACGGAGGCCTCGCCGCACGGCGGAGGGGCAACGGCAGGGATAAAGGGGCCCTGGGACACACACACACACATGAAATACACACAAATAACCGGATTCCCCTATATTTTCATGTATTCACTTGGTTTTTGTCTTCCCCCCCACTTCCTATATTGTCCAATATTTTCTGGGAATCGACGATTAATTGTGTCTGCGTGTTTTTCCCCCTCCTGAAGGGAACCAGACCATGATCGCGTCTTTAAAAACAAAAAAAACAATCAAAGTTAGGTCGGGCCTTTCCCCCTACAGGGGGATTTGGGGCGAAAGCTGAACCATACGCCAACAATGCTCCAACAATGCTCGAACACTGTCAAAACATCGTCCTCGGACTACGTTGCGACTACTTTTGAATATCTCTCCTGTAGAAGGACACGCCCGACTTTTTCGGCCGTTTTCGGCCTCGGGGGGCCCTCGCCGGGCCTGGGGGCCGTCGAGAGACGACGCGGGATGACGTCGCCTGTCTGGGGAGGAACGCTCGGTTGGAGATTTGCGGTCTGCAGGTGTGTTCGTCGGTGTTACGAGTAGGGGCTCGACTGCAGAATTGACCAACCAAAAATTAATGTCTCCGTCGGGTCTACGAACAAAAACACGTAGGATGTTCCGCAGATGTGTGGATACTCGACGAAAGGATCAAAGTGAGGGTTATGTAGCCAATTCTGTAGTCGATCCCCTAGTCGAGTACTCGGAGTTGCTCCAGCCGCGGGGTACCTTCCAGCGGCTGCGCCACGCCGAGAGCGTTCCGGACGCTTGAGGCCCGAGTTATGATCCGAAAACCACCAGAGGACCGGCAGAAGGGGGCAACATCGAGCTTGAATCGGCGATACATGGCCCAGAAATGCTCCTCCGCATTCTCCTGAGCAGGGTGGGCCATCGTGCACCTGTCGGCGACGAAACGTGGCGCTTGGAGGTCGATGCATCCCCCCTGAGCCGGTCCCGAGCTTTTGAAAGCGCTCGTCACCGGCCCCGCCCCCCCCCCTCCCCCCATTCCTGGCCATGTCCCGCTTCGTGCCAGCTCCGTCTGGAAACTCTTGCTCGGGCATTCCCAGACGGCGCCCGCGCGCATCGTGACGAGACCCGCCTCCGCCCCTCCTCCACCCTCGGCAACGCACATGAACTACGGTAGAGGGAAACAATTACTGAACACTCCCCCTCCTCCCAACTCAATGTTGGCACGTGCGGAAAACGCTGCGGTCGAAGTGCAACTCATCGGACCCATCGCCAACTTTGAGCATTGGGGGGAGGGGGGAGGCGTTGACAGATGAATTTGGCATGAATGTTCGCTAATTTGTTCCGAAGCCTGTATCGCCAACGGATCAAAAACAAACGGCTCCCCGAGCCCGTCCCCCCCGACCGCTGCCCCTGGACGGAGGCCCTCGCCGTCACGCGGCGGCGACCAGCATGATGCGGCTCGAGGACAGCTTGGTCGCCACCCTCTTCGCGAGGCCGCCCGCCACGGCCAGCGCGAGGATGTGGGCCGAGTCGCTCGGGAGGAGGCCCTGGGCTTCGGGGGCCTCCACCTGGGCAGGGAGGGAGCGGGTCACGAGGGAAGCAGGTCCTGGGCCCCGCGGGGGCTTCCCCCAAGACTGGCTCTTCAATTTGACGGCACAGTTGACACAGATAGTAAGGATTCGCCGTGCGGATGCAAGACCCTCGGGCGCCGATGCCGAGGCTTCTCGAGCGGGGCTGGACACGTTTGCTTCACGGACGGCGACCCCCGGCGACGCGCAGCTCCCGGCCGGGGTCACGAGCAGGAACGCCACCAAGACCACGGCCAGCGCCAGCTGCAGGAGCTGCCTCGACCGCCTGCTGCACGGGTAGAACATCGTGAAGATGAGATGGACCTAGAATCTGGCTCGGGTGTTGCTAGAGGCGCACCTGGCCCAAGGTGCCCCCAGGACTTCCGAGGAGGCCCCCGCGGCCTCCAGGGCACCCCTCACGAGGCCCAGAGGGTCCCAGGGGCTCCACATGTTGGACGACACGATGGGGGCAGCCTGGGCGAGGCGCACCTGCAGCAGCCCTCGACTGGTGGGTTGCTATGTTCGGTATCGGGCCAGCGGCCAGCGATCCGCCACCGTGCCTCGTGCACGCCGGGGCGCGGAAGAATGCCAAGGCTGTCTCTGTTCTCACCAGTGCCACCCCCGTGGGGCCGCGCCCCTCCGCAAAATCCGCCCCCCGTCACGAGACCACGATCCCTCGTGAAGAACCGGGAGCCGCGATCCCTCGTCAAGACGTGATGGGTGCGCGCCCCGAGCGTCCAAGGAGGTCCAGGCAGGCAACCAAGGACACTAAGATGGCCCAAGATGCCTCAAAGACGGCCCGAGATGGCCCCAAGGCGCCCAACATGGCTTCAAGACGGCCCAGGCTGCCTCCAAGATGGTCCACAAGGGCCACAAGCAGACCTCGAGCAGGGCCCGAAGAAGGCGAATGATTAATTTCCCGGCGGTGTTTGAATGATTTTCGCGTTCTTCCTTGTCTCGAGCATCCGTCAGGTCAAGACGGCCCAAGAAGCCTCCACGATGGCCACAAGACGGCCGAGAGGTCACCAACAGGGTCCCAAGGTGGCCCACGAGGTTCCAGATGACCAAAGAAGAGGCACTCAAGACGGCCCCAAGAAGGCCCAATATGGCCTCCCGTGGGACACAAGACGGCCTTAGGAGGCCTATCGAGAGCCCAAGACGGCCTCACGATGGCACCCAGACACCCACCACACGGCCAAGAGGGCCCCGAGACGGCACAAGAGAGCTCCAAGCGGCGTAAGAAAGCCCCAAGACGGCCCAAACGATTTCCATTAAAGCTCCTCAGATCGTGAAGACGACAGGTATCACATGTGACGGCCGTCCTCTTCCTCCTCCTCCTCCTCCTGCTCCTCCTCCTCCTGCTCTTCCTCCACTCCCATCCTCCCTCGCCTCCTCATTCTCCTCCGCCTCCTCCTCCCTTTCCTTCTCCTCCCCCTCCTCCTCCTCCTCTTCCTCCTCCTCAGCATCATCATCTCCATCATCACCACCACCAGCATCCGAATACTCATCCGAATCCTCATCTCCGACATCACATAATCTTCAACCACATCGTCGCCATCACCAGCACAGTCACCATTTCCAGCAGCATACTCATCATAATCAGCAGCAGCATCCTCATCACCACGGCCGTATACCTGGAGACACGAGGTGTCACACGTCAGCCTCCTGTGCCCCCACGCACATTCGCCAAACAGAAGGCTGGGCTGGCACGGCGGCGGGCCTTGCCGCAGGCAGCTGGATAAACTTAGATCTTTCCCCAACTTGGGCACTGTGATGCCCCAGGCGGCCGAACCGCCCTTGGATCAAAACGGCTACGGATATCAACGGGTCACAATTCCTCTTGGCGCGAAATTATGAATTCGCTGCTGGACTATTGTCTGACTTCTTTGAACTGTTTTTATGTTCCGTCGCTTTCTCTCCAATCCTATGTGGGCACAAAGCATGCGAGTGGTGTGCAATTGTGGAGGGGGGGCGGCATGCGAACCATGCCCCTGGGGCCTTCGGTGGAGCTCCCCAGTGGGGCCACGAAACGTGTGACGGGTGTGCCAAAGTGGAGGGGAGGCACTCGAACCAGCCTTCGGTGGAGCTCCCCAGGGGGCAACGAAACGTGTGAGAGGTGTGCCAAAGTGGAGGGGGGGGCGGCATGCGAACCATGCCACTGGGGCCTTCGGTGGAACTCTCTATGGTGCCCCGAAAAGTGTGAGGGGTAACGTCATCTGAGGGGTGTGCCAATGCGAGGGGGGTGACGAGGGGAAGGATGGGGAATGAGAGGAGAGGAGAGGAGATGGGAGGAGAGGAGAACGCAGGGCACCGTCTCTTCAAAACGAGGACCCAAACACCACAGGATGGTTTGGAGAAAGAGAGCGAGAGAGAGAGAGAGAAAGAACTAACGAAAAACAAAAAATATTAAGAAAGGAGGACGATAGAGAGAGAGAGAGTGAAAGGATACAACATAGATAATAGAAAACATCGTCAGTGCAGAGTCAAGAAGAATGATGGATAGTCAAGCAACATGCAACGGCGGACGAGCGCGGAGCACGCCCAGAGACGTAATAAGGGGAACCCACGGATCTGTTGCGTGTGCTGTGTAGAGGCCATCTGCTCCCCTCTCCCTGGTAGGAAGCCGCATGTGAGCTCGACCCCTGCAGGTCAGAATCCTGAAGAACAGGAGGCGGAGGAGGAGGAGGATGGGGCTCACAATGTGAAGGATGTCTGCAGCCAAGCGAGCCCCTTGCGGGGGTGTCCCATATACCCCCTCTGTCGGCTGGACCCGCAGGGGACTCGGATTCGCACACGGCTGTAGGCCCGAGGTGTGAACAAGAAGCAACTCCGACATCTTTTTCGGCGTTTCGACATTGGGCGGAAAGGGGGGGGAAGGGGGGGGTCTGGCTCCAGACCCCTGCTTCGGTGCGACTGTTTGCAGCAAGGCGCACAATGGGGGAGGGACTCCACCTGCTCGAAACAGGCGCCAAGAACCACCAAGATCTACTCCATGGGAAGGGGGGAGGGGGGGGGGCGAGGGCCCCTGCCGATCGGCAACACAATGACTACAAAAACACGATCACCTTCCGTCGATTATGAATAGGTTAATCCGCGGCCCTGGAGCTATGCTTCTCTCGTCGCACCTCAGTGCCACATCCCAGAAACCATTCCGAGCGCCCGGGCACATACCGTCACGGTGTATGCCTGGCACGATGGCCAAGTGTCGACGGTTTCCCCTGAGACACTTCCCCCCCCCTGGGACTGCCTGTCGATGGCCCCAGGCCCCGAAAGCGGTCCCCAACGGCCGCGACTGACGAGAAGAACACGTTTTGACAGCATCTTGTTGGAAGGGGCCCCATGACACACTAATAAAAACAAGCAAATCCCAGGATTCCCCATATTTTCCCATATGTTCTGGGTTTTCGTCTTCCCCCCAAACTTCCCAGATGTTCCCTTTTTTTCCTGGGAATCGACGATGAATTGTGTCTGTGTGTTTTTTCTCCTCCTGTATACAGCTTTTAGCTGAAGAGGTTCGCTCTCGCCCCGCAGATCAACACAAACAAAGTGTTTTTTGTTCTCCTCCTGAGTGTTGTCGGAGATGCGGTCTGGGCATCGGGTGCGCCGAAGAGGGAGACCAGGAAGAGAGGGGGGGGGCGCACGCACGCACGGCACGAGCACGAACTCGAAACTCGATTTCCCGGTGGGGGGACTCCGTTACACTGCGATCTCACCCCCCAACCTCCGATCTTCTGGGTTTTCGTCTTCCCCCCACCTCCCATATGTTCCCTTTTTTCCGGGGAATCGACGATTCATTGTGTCTGTGTGTTTTTCTCCTCCTGAGTGTTGTCGGAGGTGAGATCTGGGCATCGGGTGCGCCGAAGAGGGCGACCAAGAAGAGAGGGGAGGGGGCAGGGGCGCCCACCACTCAACGGGCAAGGCACGGCAGGAACATAAACACCTGTCGCCGCCAGGGAGGCCCGTGCTAGGGGGCGGCCCAGGGCGACGCAGGAGCCGATGCTCCTGTTTGCCGCCCGCGGAGGTCGTGGCCGGAGGCACGTCGTGTGCGGAGGAGGAGGGGGGGGGGCGGCCAGGGCACGCAGGGACAGACGCCAAAAGGGGAAGGCAGGACATCCGGGCGAGCGAGACCCCATCCCTGAGATCCGACGCCGCGGCAGGAGCGCTGCGGCACCGCGAGAGGCCACGACCCGAGCCCAGGACCCCATCGTTCTGCGGCGCATCTTGGAGCCAGGGCCGCACACGGCCCCCGAGACCCAGCGGCGCGCCCAGGGGGGAAGTGAGCCGTCGCTCGTCGCTCGTCGCTCGTCGTCGTCGCTCGTCGCTCGTCGCTCGTCGCTCGTCGCTCGTCGTCGTCGTCGTCGTCGTCGTCGTCGTCGTCGTCGTCGTCGTCGTCGTCGTCGTCGTCGTCGTCGCTCGTCGCTCGTCGCTCGTCGCTCGTCGCTCGTCGTTCCTCGTCCTCGTCGTCGTCGTCGTCGTCGTCGTCGTCGTCGTCGTCGTCGTCGTCGTCGTCGTCGTCGACACGCCTTATAAGCGAGGAAAAAGAGGCGGATGAGAAAGAGGATGACTAGGACTAGGACGGTGGCCTGCCTCCGGAAAGGCAGGTCCAAGGGAGGAGCGAGGAGGAGGAGGAGGAGGAGGAGGAGAAGGAGGTGGAGGACGAGGAGGAGGACGAGGAGGAGGAGGAG